GAGATGAATTTACAATCAAATCGAATCAAGGCGCAGAAAAGCGAAGGAAAGTCTATTAATAGGATTCGAACACAGATATACATGGAAAAGAAGATAATTCATCGAGCGATATTTAAGCGATCATCGTTTAAGCTAGCGAGAGATATGTGATCAAGCATACATGTTTATACAGAAATGAGGGTGATCATAATGATGCAAAGAAGTAGACGAATTGCTACTGTCTGAATAACATTGTTTGTTAAATAAGTCATCTAATTTACGTAAATCAATCCATAATGAAGCATTTATGTTCGATTAATTCATCTAATATTATCTCATCCATCTACAATGCTTATATTAATCTACTAATTCAAATGTTATCAAACTGTATGATAATGTTGTTGTATAATAAGAAAGCATGAATAAATAAATAGTATAATAAGTAGTTTTGGGAAAGTGTACGTCATATCTCATGGAATCGGCTATACGTTGCCCAGTTTCACAGTCTGAGAAGTTACCAATGAGATACTCACGAAAAATCATTTTGAATGATGTCAAAAGTTAAATCCTAACAACTTCAACCACAGGATTCTGCTGAAAGCATCTGTTCTTAAAAGATATTCGTAAGTGTAAATGATACTGCCAAGTAATATTGATGGCTTCGAATTTGAAAAGACATTGAGTTAACTACAACGATTCTCATGAAACGTTCTACTCTTTTTTCAGAATGCTAAATAAATTATGTTCTAGAGGTTTAGCGTTCGCGCGTGAGACCGATAAGTCGTGGGTTCGAACCTCAAAGAGCTGGACCATGGATGCGCACTGCTGAGAAGTCCCACGGTAGGACAAAATGGCCGTCCAGTGCTTCCAGGTTTTCCATGGTGGTCTAGTTTCAACCCAGATTGATGTAGGTGGAGTTTCGTTCTCTGAGCTTAATGGTTTAGTCATAGAGCTTTCACTGTTCTCCCGAATTCGAATTTCTTCACTCCTACACGAAGCTTGTGCTCATGATGTTGTTCACAAGGACAAAACTCCACCTAAATCATCCATCTGAGTTGTAAATTGTCTTGACTATCTCAGTTTGATGTATTGAAAATTTGACTGTTGATAAGTTAAGTAGATGATGTATAACATAATGGATTTAGCCATCATTTATTTGCATCACTTATAATACCAATTACTAATCTGCGGTTGTTACATGAATAAATCTTCATTTGTAGTCTGATCATCTCCCTTAAACTTTGTTATATCATACCTTGTTGCTGTGTAATATTTATTCAGCATTATTTTTATCTAAGTTAACACAAGTTGAAATATATTACTTACTTACTTACTTACTTACTTACTTACTTACTTACTTACTTACTTACTTACTTACTTACTTACTTACTTACTTACTTACTTACTTACTTACTTACTTACTTACTTACTTACTTACTTACTTACTTACTTACTTACTTACTTACTTACTTACTTACTTACTTACTTACTTACTTACTTACTTACTTACTTACTTACGCTTGTTACTCCCAGTGGAGCATAGGCCACCGAACAGCATTCACCAACCCACTCTGTCCAAGGCAAGTCGATATATATGCGCAAGAGAAAACCATAATCTTATCAAGTTTCAGCAGCTTTCCAAAAAAATTTCATTATCACAAATATAGTTTAAAATGATGAATATTATGAAAAGAAAATTTAATCAGAGAACAATGAATTTTATCACTTCAAATCAATATGACGGACTTATTTTGATCATTAAATGTCATCTGTAAGGAGATAATAACCAACCAAGTTTAGTGATGTGGAAGGAACTTCATTTCTTGATTAATTTCTACTACTTGTAACAATTCAGTAGGTTGACTTACATTGAAATATTTCAAAAGTAACAAGTGATAAGGATGATGGTTAGCAGATACGCATATCATCCATCCTATTTCTTACTCATCAGTTAGATGAACATGTATCTCACGTTTAATGTTTACTCAGAGAATCTATATAACTCAAATGGACGAAATATGTATGGATTACAATAGTAAACTGTTGTGCAAATGATTTGAAAATAATGTTCAGTTTGTGGTTGCGGAGAATGTTGAATGTGCTTGAAACCATCAACAGAACTAGGATGAAACAGGCTTCCAGTATTCCAGGTTCTCAACAGTGGTCTGAATTAAATCACACCCTGCTTTGAACGAAACTCAACAAGCTCAATAACACCATGGTGAAAGTGATCACGTGCTAACTAGTAACTAGTAGCTTCGAGAGGAAGTTTCAGAATTTTTAGTGAGAAGTCTTGACCAGTGTAGATAAACCTTGTCAGGACTGAATCTCTCACTCACCAAAGACAATAGAAGGTGGCCGCGCAATATCGTATATTCATTGACGTTAGATATTGACACTGTTCGACACTGTGTAAATGGTATACATATTAGGTACTTGTTCACGAAACCGAATGTCGTGTGTTCGATTCTCACGCTTGTGGGCATGAATGCAGAACACTGAGGAGTCACATACTCAAACAATCTGTGTTCAATGCTTTCAGGCTTTCAATGGTGAGTCAAAATTGATCAGTTACTGATGTCAATGACCATTATTTGTACAATCCAATTGATGACCACATACTCACAAAGACTAATACGATATGTTCTATCATTCTTCATCCTAACATTTCATTTCCCCTTCTCAAATAATCAACGTATGTACCTCGATCTCTGAAGGTCTTGAAGAGCATCTTGGTTATTCCCACCTTACTACTGATGTCAAACTATTGACAAATGTTTACTGTTTTCATCCAAACATTTCCGAAATCAACACAACATCATTGTCAATCGGATGAATATTGACAAAATATAAATACTAAATATAACGGTCCACTATACCTCACGTCCAATCTAACAACGAAAACATGGAAAACCTATTATTGCACATATCCGACTAATTCCACGATTATTCCATTTCCACAAATATAACAGATTCCAATGAATCTCATTTATCCACATGGAACACTGTACGTGTATCTCAGTGAGTGAGTCGATCTCAAATATTTCATTCAATGCAATACACCACACAATATACGTGAATTGTTTAAATGCTTACTAGAATGACTGAAAGTGGTCGCCATCATTGCAATACAATAACAGAACACGAAATAAAACAAAATGAATGTTTGAAATAACGAAGTAAAGTCAATTCATTTTACTAAGTGTATGTTGATAAACTGTGTAATTAGTCACAGGTATTCTACTCATCTCCATAGAAATGCATTTGGTCAATGCATTATTGAAGTTAAACTATCGATTTCACAAACTGGAAATGAGACATAAAGAACTTGACAAACAATAAGTATAGATGTATATGAAGGTCTGTATTCTTATAAACGAGGAGATCTTGTGCGATAACTTCATGATATTCACGTCTAAATATGAAAATTGCCTAACCAAATGTTCCTTCTCAATAGTAACACATTCTTATACAGAGGGAATGTTTCTCAACAAGATCAAACTGTGTTATGTCAAAATATTTGCATCACAATCCAACCTTCAACTCCATTCCATTCCATTCCATCATTCAGTGGATACTATTCACAATCTGTTATCACTGACAACATTCTTTCTTGTAGATGGTTGAATGGCAAGCTGGTTGTGTCTCTGTGTGTCAATGTAGCACACAATCAAGCAGATGGTTGTCAATTGTATCTGTCCAACAAGTTGACATGATATGACAAATTGTATGCCAAATGCATTCCACAACTAGTACCACTGTAGATGAAGTAACGTGGATTCTATTGACGTTGTTCAGTGTGATCGAGGTTATTCGAATTTTTAGGGAGATTGACCTATGTGATTTTAATAGTTGGTCGGTGATACTTTAACACACACTATGTTTATATGACAATTTAGTGTTTCGTCTTGAAAGACATCATCTACATTCTGAAAAGACTACAACATATGCAGTATTTACAAAGTATCTAGTTCATCCAATTTATCTTGGACTACCACAAAACTGATAGTGAAGCCTATGCGGATAGATTATTTTTAGTGTGATTATTAGTATTGACATCAGATTCTCAATGCGTGTCACTTCACAGTTCATAATTCACGACTATCATTCTTCCCATTACAAATTACCCAAAACAATTCACACTTGCACACAGTTCACTGAAACATTGCATAGAAGCGAACAAGGAATAATCATAAATATCCTATCTTACTATCTTACAAATTGTAGGGAATAGTGACACTATCATCAATCAGTCATGCAATAGGCTATATCGTATTGATCTTCAGTGTATTATTAATAAAAGAATTATCTTGATTGTTGTAGTGGATATGTGTTTAGTAGACATGCTTTACATATCTCACACTGGTCATGTTCATGAAAACATATTGAACACAATTGTTCCTACAAGTATCACTTTCGTATTTCAAATGTGAATTCCCTATTCATTAACGATTTCTGTCTGACATCGATTGGTTTCGCGATTGGTTCCGTGACTTGTCAACATGGTACTGCTCACGAAGTGAAAATCTAATTTCCATCAATCTGGTGAGCTGAGTCGATTAATCAAAGTTTTAACAACATAACCGATGGCTTACATCCATGTCGAACAGAGACAGTTCAAACAGTTCAACTATCTCATGATGAAATTCGATTAATCGTGCAATTCAGCCAGTGAGTCAAACTGACTAATCAACATCTTCTGAGTGATAAGATGAGATTTTAACAAAACAAACGACAAAACGAAACGGCACAGATTTCGCATACTAACACTAAAACACCAGTTATCTTCCTCATCAAAATTGGAACACTGTTCTATACTGAATCATGTTTCAACGTATGCTCGATTAGTAAACCGATACCTAATCATAGTACCAAAATCAAAACTGAACAGAAATGCAACTATTCAATTATATTTAAACACACGAAAATGAACAGTGAATATTTATCTAAGTAATCACAGCATTCTAGCTCATCTCCATTCAAATCTTTACCAACACTTCCATTCTCAATCTAATTTCAGTCTACATCAATTCACGTTTCACAACATCGTCCATAAGCGATTCTTCGTCGTTGTCATCATATACATATGACCCATCAACAGGCTCATAACTGTCTTGTTGATTTTCATCAAATCCTATGTTATCGTAATATTGAGGTTGTTGAAAATGTGGGAATAGTTCAGGTTGCATATTTATCCCTCCCATTTGCATGTGAGGCTGAATGGGTGGATATCCATATTGTTGTAGTAGTTGTTGACCTTGTTGTGAAGGATAGTAAGCTTGTGCTAGTTTTGACTGTTGTTGACGTTTCATCATTTGTGATTGACCAATGGGTTGCCCATATCCACTCTGTCCTCCGTATGAATTAGAATATTGGGAGTATGCGCTCATTGGTTGTTGTGAATTGTGGTTAATTTTCCCTCCCATTTGTCTCTTCATCATCATATTGGATGAGTAGTATTGTTGTTGTTGTGGTTGTTGTTGTTGTGATTGTTGTTGTTGTGGTTGCTGTCGTTGTTGTGATTGTTGTTGTTGTGGTTGCTGTCGTTGTTGTGACTGTTGTTGTTGTGGTTGCTGTTGTTGTTGTGACTGTTGTCGTGGTTGCTGTTGTTGTGACTGTTGTTGTTGCGGTTGCTGTTGTTGTGATTGTTGTTGTTGTTGTTGTTGTTGCATTGGTTGCTGCTGTTGGCCATATGATTGTACACCTTGCATTAATTTCGACTGCAGTTGACGTCTGCTTAATTTAGGCAGATTATTTGATCCCAAGTAAGTATTTGCTAATTGAATACCTTGTCCTAATTTCTTCTCATAATCTGCTACTTTTCCAACGCTACTTTTCAATGCATTCAAATCGATACTTTGTGATAATTGACAACAACAACTCATCATGATTATGTATATGGATAGAGATGACATGAATTTATATGTGGCCAAATTGTTGATTTGCATTGTTCAATATGATCACTTGAAAGATGGAAAGAAAGATGAAAACACTGTTTAATTACAGACTCAATACTCAGATGGAAATGTGTATGAATGGTGTTTCGAATGTTGGTTTATGATGAACAAAAGAGAATGCATACATGTTATGACGTAATAATAATTATTAATACGCACTGCTGAGGAGTCCCACAGTAGGACGAAATGGCCGTCCAATGCTTCCAGGTTTTCCATGATGGTCCAGCTTCAATTGACTCATGTACTCAACTATTAAATTACTATAATATTCACAAACCCCTACTGATATAATATTACTGTTTATTTATTAAGAAACTAGATTACGATGTATGTTCATTTTCAAACTCACTTGGTATAGTTCACTTCATCGTCACTTCTTCTTTGAACTGGATGATCTGGTCTTGGAGCTTTCATCGCTCTTCTGAACGATATCATCAACACAAACTTCAGGTAGAAGTGAAGTGTTCAAATATTTCCATATATATAGTTCATATCTTTTCTTTGTGCTGATGATGTCGTTTAGAAGAACAATGAAAGTTCCACAACCATACCATTCAGCTCAAAGAACAAAACTTTATCGAAATCATTCATCTGAGCTACAAATCTTCTACATTATCTGTTAACTATATGCATAAAATTAAGATGTTGTATTCCATTCATAGTGTATTTTATATAATTAGTTCTTGTTGACTTCATCTTTAAATAACTACTGATTAACTAGCAACGACATATAATTCTGCTTCTACATAACCTCAATTGTTATTCAATTTCGAATCCATTTATGATGTAACCAGTTCCCAAGTGGAAAACTTATTTAATCATATTTTGGTTAGAAATTAAAATCATATAGTCAAGGCGTATTGGGACACTTACCAATTTCTTTAATTAGAAGATCTATTCTACTAAATACTTTAAATATGATCACAAATTTATACTCATCTTTTATGTTTCCCATGACAACTATACGTCAATCAGTTGTTACTGGTTATCATTGTGATGTACACAAATAAACTAAATTAAATTATGTGATTATTATTATGATTGTATTGACAGTCATCAAGGTATTCTTTGTATGTATGCACTATTTCTTTTTGGGTGATTATTCTCAATCAGTGTCAACTGTTCACATCAACATTCATTTTATAACCTAGTGACCTTACCTGATACCATCACTTGAATGGATCATTACTGAAAAAAACAACTAATATCTGAGGTAAATTTAGTTCAATTTATTAAATCTGTCTATCACCATGATGGTTCTTTTTTAAAGAATAACGTTTGGTAAAATGAAACATCATTTAGCAGCACCTCTAAGGTTAATACCAGTCCTAAGCCTGGGTTAGGAGAGGGGGTGGGAATAAACGTGAGATTAACAACTTCATCTCATAAAAAAAGGACTCCGCTGTAAAAACCCGAATCAGAGTAAATATGAGAATTAATATTTATTATTCATTATCAGAATGTGTTTTGTGGAGATTTTTAGAAATTTTCACAGATTGAAATCTCCACAAAACACATTCTGATAATAATAATCAACTGCTCACTAGTGACTGACTTCACGAGACACTTCTGGAGTTCTAGTGAGAAGTCGTTACCAGTGGAACTCATTGAAGACAATGGTGTACGGTGGCGAAATGGATAAGTGCTCGCGCGCGAAGTCAGTAGGTCCTGGGTTCGAGCCCCGGGCGGTGCGGGTTCGTGGATGCGCACTGCTGAGGAGTCCCATACCAGGACGAAACGGCCGTCCAGTGATTCCAGGTTTCCAATGGTGGTCCAGCTTCAACTGACTCATGATTTCAATCTGTGAAAATTTATTATTCAAATAATGTGCCTTATTATTTTTATCTAAATATCAAATTATCATTCTACGTAACACGGAATACTTATTTAACTATTTTATTTCCATTTTAGAAATAACAAACTGATTTTAGCTAGACTACCACAGGAAACCAGATGATAGCGCAATACACCTTCCTCGTCCTAAGCAATATACATCCAGGATACCACCATAGGGGATCAGACCCAAAAGGTTTGGTCTCACAAGTAGACTCCTAACCTCCAGATTATTGAGCCGCTATCTGGTAGTATATATGCTTAACCTCAGACAATTCCCGATACTGTGCGATTATTTCTCATAGCGTGAGGTGAATATCTGTCTTACATCCGGCATAGACGAACACCACTAATCACAGCTTCTCACCAGAACTTTAGAAATCGCGTGCTGAGGCTAGTCCCTAGTGAGCATATGATTTAGAGTCATAGAGAGAAGCTGTGACTAATGGAGATCAAACTTGTTGCATGTGCGACAGTTATACACCATGGACGGTGAAAGATAGTCACGTAATGTTATGAATTGATGAGTGCAAGAAATGCTCAATGGTCTGGGGTGTGGGTGCTAACCGCGAAACCAAAAGACCTAGGGCCATAAATTCACACTGATTATGAGTTCATTACTAGTCAGGAAAAGCTATCCAGTGATTTCTGGTTTTCAATGGATGTGAAGATCATCTACAAAGTTAAAAGAACTGTCTCAAAGAGAACTCAATCTAGAGAATGGCTTGTGTTAGAAGCTCACCACTTCAAGTTTGTTTTGCGTGTTCCAGCAAGGTAAACTCCTTATTTTATAATCGTCTTAGAACGCCTTTCTATTCTTGAGGTTATTTTCACTAGTTATTTGGTTATTCCACATTTTGTGAGTATTCATCAAACAGACAGTTTTCTTCTACATTTCTATCAGTCACTATTTATTTGTTACCTTAGTGATTATTACGCAACTCATATTCGATAATTGAAGATATCATTAAGTGAATGGTGGCAATCAGTAAGAAACTATCTGATTTAGACTTCATTTTAATTTATATTCATTACTATGTCATGCCTACAATCATCAGGGCACTGTTGCTCTCTGATAATTATATTTGGTAACATTGTTGAATGATCCAAAATCTTTCGACTTTATCATAGATTTTTGTGTGAAAAAATTGATTGTAAGTACGATTGTACAGATTACATAAACGACATCATCAAAAAGAAAATTTCGTTAGCTGAAACCTGTTCATTTTAGTTATCAAAAAACGATTGTGAAAATGTATTTATCTGTTAAATGAATCTGTGTTAAATTAACCTGTTACTTACATTTCTAAGCCTGGTCTGAGCCACGTTGGTAGATGCAGACTACTTGGTTGGTGTCCATGTGACTGTCGTAATCAGTGGTTGGAGACTATGTGACATGATTCAGAATCGATCACAATTGCTTCGGTGTATACACTCTCTGTCTTCCCTTAAACCGTGAGATTAAATTTGTCTTTCTTTCTACCAGCGAATTCTTTCTTCCTGTACTATATCCTTATACACAATCTTGCTTTTATATATTACTACCATTGAATTAACTACTTCTATGAATCCGGTGTTCATCTTGTTGTGATAATAAAGTGTGGTAACTTGGACTGAAACATATATGTACCTGGTTCTGCATTGTATCTGACTGACTGACTCACATCTAAAAATCAATTCAAATTGCTTACACAAAATAAAAGTTGGGTTTATAGTATTTGATTTCATTTTTGTGTCAAAATGTAATCATGTCTTATGAAGACGAAGTAAAAAAACACAACTTAAAACCAATGATTGGTTGAAGTTAGACACTAACAGAGTTGGATACCGGCCGGCTCAGTGATCTAAAAGTTAAGCGTTCGCATGAGAAACCGGTAGGTCCTGGGTTCGAATCTCGAGAGGCGGGATCGTGTATGCGCACTGCTGAAGAGTCCCGTACAGAGATGAGACGGTCGTCCAGTACTTTCAGGTTTTTCATGATGGTCTAGCTTCAATTGACTCATTCAATCATTAAAATTCAGTGATTTATTCATGTTTATCATGTCGCTATTTTTTAAAAAAATTTGATCAATTTTGTAATGCTATGCATATTTTGATGAAGATTTCTACATTATTTATACAAAGTAGGAAAATATCATTTAATCGCCACAGGTAACGAAAGATGACAGAAATTTAGAGTGGCCCTTTATCTGACTTCAATTAAATCCTTTTATGATTGTCATCGACAAACTTACCATATTAGTAGCCCTCGTGTATCCGACTCCAGTTTGATCGTGTAATGACCGTATGAATGGTTGGTAACGAAATATAAATATCGCCAACACTCGTACATAATTATTGACGTAAATCGCATTGTTGGATAACGGAATTAAATCACTTAAATACGAGAATAAAATCTGAATACGCATATTTCGTCCACTTACTGACCTGGACAGACAGTTAGGGGAACGAAGCGAAGGAAGCAAAGAGGAGAGAGTGGATCGAAATGAAATGACGCGCAGTGAGAAAACTCAATGTAATCAAGAGTTACTCAATATTTATATTTGGAGAAAAAGAAGTTACAGACGCATGATGAATAGGATAAGTAATTAACACACATACACTCACATATAAAAACAGACAGGATTAATAACTAAATAAGTAACAATGTCAAAAAGTCGATGGAGGAGAATGAATAAATTGGTCTGTCTAGAAGCTAGAATAGACTGTGTGGGCTTGATTTAGTATTAGCCACTACGGCAAGATATCGTGGATCGAGGGAAGTTAGAAATTCTCAATTTTGGATACCAGCTTATTTGTCTAAAATTTAAAAATTCACGTGCGAGACAGAAGGTCTTGAGTTTGATTACCTCTGGCGAGATCATGGATACACATTACTAAATATTTCCACACTAGGATGGAACGGTTGTCCAGTACTCCCAGATTCTCACTGGTGGTCTAGATAGGATCAGTTAGTGATTTAACACATGAAAATAATTGGAAATCAATCAATGTGAAAACAATTTTGTTATCAATACAATCAGCTTTCTTTCCTATCACAACGGTTATATGATACTAAGAAAATTGTAAAGCAACTTCTTCCTATCTACAAATGA